TTTCTCTTTGTTCTCAGTGCTCGAGCTTATCTCTAGCAGCGAGCAGCGCCCGGGCTCGACTACTCGAGCTCTAGCCTGTGTGGCGCAGCAAACGGGCAGCGAAGGGTTTGAGCGCGAGCAAGGAGGAGCTCCATCGGGCTTGCACCTTGCATCGCGAGCAGGAGCTTGGTGGCGAGCAGCCAGCGAGAAGGGCAAGCTCGAGCCTGTGCTTGGCGGCCACGGCGACAGATTGAGGCAGGGTCCGAGCAGGAGGAAGACGCGACAGGCTCGTGCGGTCGCGCGGGAGGCAGTTGCCGTGGCAAATCTGGACGAGCCGTCGTCTCTCTTGGAGCACGAGCTAGTGCCGTCGCTTCACGAGACGACGACCGAGCCGTCTCCTGCTCGCACCGAGGTGTTTTTTGCAAATAGCATATCATGTAGACGGCACATACCGACGCGTTGTGGGTGCCCTTATAAACCTTATCTTTTGTAACTGTCGAAACACTACATCCTGCGAAACTGAGGCGCCACATGGCTTCTAGTAACAATGATGATTGATTTACTCGACGACATGCTAGAAAACATGGGAAATGCACAATGCAACATTAGAGAAAAACAAACTCTCCTCGATTCTTGATTATGTCCTCCATCTTATCCACTTGATTTAGGCATGATCATTTGAGCCACAAATTCGAATCGAGCAATGTGGTCAAATTTCAAGAAAAAATTTCAAATGGGCCTGCATGTACAAGAGTTAATTAATTGACCGTAAAGTTTTTGAAAAGATCATATAGTCATACACGTACAAGAGATAATTAGTCATAAATATATCTAGTACGCATGGATCATATGATGCAAGCAAATATGAAGGGACTTTGTCATGGTTTAATAAATCAGAAGCTGTTACATTTAAAAATAAAATGTACACCGCTAGTGAAAGATAAATGGGATTTGGCAACTATCACTTTTGATGTCTAGAGAGAATAGTATACCGCATAAGATAAATGGGATTTGGCAACTATCACTTTTTTTTTGCCGACGGCTGCCTCTCGGCACAGGAGCTCTCGCCGAGTGCCACGTGTTTGCCGAGAGGGGCCTCTCGGCAACCCGGTGTTTGCCGAGTGCCCGATGAATTGCTCTCGGCAATGACGCGTGCACCCGGCAAATAACCGGTTTCCCGTAGTGATGTAACCCCGGAGTCTCATAACTGAATGAAAATTCTTAGACTAAAAAAAAAATCGGCTTCCAATATGATAATTTTGCCACAATATCGTTTTTACATTCAAGTCAAATCAGAAGGTCATAGTACATACAGTCTTGTCACTCTGCAGTCTATAGACAGCTGCAACCTATACCCAACATAAAACAGATGCAACGAGTCTCACTGTCCAAGAATGAATCAATCGTGCGCGCCTAATCGAACCGGCAAAGGCCGCCGCTCCTCGCTCTTTGCCGCAGCTCGGAGCGCGCCCGCAGAGCGCACAGCTGAGCCTCCCACACGTCCCTCGCGAACTCAACGCGCGGACTCGTTGCCTCACCGCCCACCGTCCGCAGCTCGGCGTCGTACCGCACCCGCCGCGCCGGGTCGGAGAGCGTCTCGTACGCGCGCCGCAGCTCGAGGAAGAGCTGCGTGAACTCGGCGCGGCGCGACGGCGGGCACAGGTCGGGGTGGTACCGCAGCGCCAGGCGCCGGTACGCGCGCTTGATCTCCTCGGCGCCCACGGCCGCCGAGTGCTCCAGCGACAGAACCTTGTAGTAGTCCTTCCTGGTGCTCCCGGAGCACGAACTCGCCCTGCCCGACGACGACGTCGCCACGGCCTTGACCTTGCAGTGGCTGCTCCGGCAGGACACCGTGGAGCTGTTGGTCCTGATGGCCGCGCACCTCGCCGTGGGGAGGGTGCTGCTGGTGCTCATGGCACCGGTTAGCTAGCAAGCCGACCGAACAAGTAACCAAGTCGTCTCGTCTCTGCAGGGGGGCTTAGTAGAGCTGCCGAGGCGTGGTGGCGATCGCGATGGCGTGCATATATAGCGGGTGTCGCAGGTTCGCCGGAGGACGAGACAAACGAGGCGGGGCCGGTGGTGGGGTACGCGTTTTGCACGGGTGGCTGCCAACGTCGCCGTCCTCGCCGAGATGTGGCGGGTCTCACGGTAGTGGACCGGTGAAATGGAGCTTTGCCTGTGGATTCTACTGCGATGGAGACGGCAAATATTGAGGGGTAAAAAAAGAAAAGGGTATTGATGCCGAGATGTGCATGATGTGGGGGTAAATAAATTAAAGAAAAGGGTATAATTTTGAGGGGAGAACGACGAAGGGAGGCATTTGGTAGGTAAAGATCAATGAAGCGAGGGCGCGAACACATTAGTATAGACGAGAGAGAGATCTCTTGAATCGCCCATGTGGTTAGATCTATCGAATCTACTCAATTTTTGGTTTAAAGAATGCTGGCCGTCCCAGTGAACTGCTGAAATACACGGTGCCGAGTTAGGTGGCCGGCATTCTCCGTCCCACGAGGACACTGTTCTGCAAATCGCGGTGACCCCGGCGTGTTAGGTGGTGCATCGAGGCGCCGGCCGGCAGCATAACCCCTGTTCATATTCACATGACCTCGTCGTGTAGCTAGCACCGGTGGAGAATGAAGAAAAAAAGTAATAGTACGGTTTCCTATTCCTGCAGAGATTTTGTTGTTTGCCCCGGCAAAAAGGCGATTCTTGTCGTATACAGGTCTACTTGAACGAAAACAACTGACAAGTAGCCCACGGTTTCAGCTAGCAATGAGGCGTTCGGCTCACTGTTTGGCTTTCTCTTATCTCAGCTGGGGACCAGTCAAGCATATCATATACTATGTAACTTAGGGCACCCACAATGGTACAGACGGGTGCTGTCTATGAGTGTCTTGATTATCGTACACAGACAGCAAAACAGACAACTCATACAATGAGTTGTCTGTTTGTTTGTCTATAAAAAAATTAATTCATAAATGAAGCTACAAAACAAAGGGATCAAATGTGGATTTAATTTTATGCACCATGTTGTGTATGAGAGAATTGATTTACGACATTTGCGACGAAATCTTTGTGAAAACTGAAATGCACATTTCTATATTTCTTTCTTGTTTTATTAAAGGACTATTATGTCAAAAATAGATTTTGAAAGGATCCTTTCTACAAATGGCAAGGGCTAAATCAAAAAAGCATCGATCTTATCTTCTTCCTGTGGTAGCAGTACTAGTGCTATGCTTCAACTTTCTCTTTGTTCTCAGTGCTCGAGCTTATCTCTAGCAGCGAGCAGCGCCCGGGCTCGACTACTCGAGCTCTAGCCTGTGTGGCGCAGCAAACGGGCAGCGAAGGGTTTGAGCGCGAGCAAGGAGGAGCTCCATCGGGCTTGCACCTTGCATCGCGAGCAGGAGCTTGGTGGCGAGCAGCCAGCGAGAAGGGCAAGCTCGAGCCTGTGCTTGGCGGCCACGGCGACAGATTGAGGCAGGGTCCGAGCAGGAGGAAGACGCGACAGGCTCGTGCGGTCGCGCGGGAGGCAGTTGCCGTGGCAAATCTGGACGAGCCGTCGTCTCTCTTGGAGCACGAGCTAGTGCCGTCGCTTCACGAGACGACGACCGAGCCGTCTCCTGCTCGCACCGAGGTGTTTTTTGCAAATAGCATATCATGTAGACGGCACATACCGACGCGTTGTGGGTGCCCTTATAAACCTTATCTTTTGTAACTGTCGAAACACTACATCCTGCGAAACTGAGGCGCCACATGGCTTCTAGTAACAATGATGATTGATTTACTCGACGACATGCTAGAAAACATGGGAAATGCACAATGCAACATTAGAGAAAAACAAACTCTCCTCGATTCTTGATTATGTCCTCCATCTTATCCACTTGATTTAGGCATGATCATTTGAGCCACAAATTCGAATCGAGCAATGTGGTCAAATTTCAAGAAAAAATTTCAAATGGGCCTGCATGTACAAGAGTTAATTAATTGACCGTAAAGTTTTTGAAAAGATCATATAGTCATACACGTACAAGAGATAATTAGTCATAAATATATCTAGTACGCATGGATCATATGATGCAAGCAAATATGAAGGGACTTTGTCATGGTTTAATAAATCAGAAGCTGTTACATTTAAAAATAAAATGTACACCGCTAGTGAAAGATAAATGGGATTTGGCAACTATCACTTTTGATGTCTAGAGAGAATAGTATACCGCATAAGATTCAGTGGTTGCATTCAAGTAACAAAGGCCGGCAATCTTCATTGGTCACTAATTAGAACATTTGGGTCCTCTGATTAAAAAATGTTCATCAGATCAGATCGTAATTATCCACCATAATCCATAGCAGCCACCAAATGTTATTGGCTTGGATGAGTCCAGTATGTAAGACAAAGTACATGAGGTGCATTGCATGACTTGGACCAAATCATACCACAATTCCCGTGCATTTTTTAACATCTCCCTAGTGATCTTCCCTCTTCCAACGATCGGTAAATGTATATATTGTTTTGACTTTAAGCTTATCTTTCAATGACCAGATATGTATGCACGAACAATGTATAATCGTGGCATATAATTTTGCACCACATGGGAACATGATGCCTGTTGTAGACTGTTGACAGAATCAAATAGGCAAAAAGACTAAGGCGATAAGACCCAGTGAGAAAAAGGCAAGTAAAGACAAATTAGTAGGTACAGACGAACGTGTATGAAAATAGCAATGCAAACTAAAGACCGATGCGAGGAAACCCAGTATGATGCTGCTGTGGAGGCAGGTAGTTATTATAACGAGCAAGAGCAGAGGTGCACAAACACAAGTGCACAACCAGCCCTGCGACATGAGAAATACACGATAATATATGTTTTTTCAACTTTATACATGACACAGGCAGTTTCACTTTGAGGTCACCTGCATTTTACGGCGTAATTTCACTCTCAATCTTATCGAATTAGGAATTCACTACAGCTGCGCAAACCAGATACTGATAATATAGGTTTTATTGCTCAACCAAACAAAAACCGACCTTAGCTCAGTTGGTAGAGCGGAGGACTGTAGTTAGAAGCAGATAATCCTTAGGTCGCTGGTTCGAATCCGGCAGGTCGGATATTTTTGTGTAATCTTTTTTTATTGGTGCAGAATGAACTGTTTTCCTTTCCAGTTGTGTTCTTACTTTGCTTTTTATGCTGCTTCTTGCCTTCTCTGGCCGACTGGCCTGCATGCCATGGCAGCAAACTAGTATCAAATGGAACTTGTACAATGCTACTGCTATTCATTTCAGTGACTATTCAACGAGTTTGTAGAGGGACCTCCAAGCTTATTTACGCTGAAGACCAGAGCGGTTGCCATCAAAAAGCAGGTTCAGGTACAATTGACCACAGAGTCAATCTTGGAGAACTAGGCACCGAGAAAGGACTAAAGCCAGAACGAACCGCGGCATGGTAGTCGAACAAAGGCATGCCGAGTTGCAGATTCACTCCACTCTAACAACTGCGGTTTCTTTCAAGCATCTACTGACAGCCTCTTCACATTCATCCGACATGACGAGTGCAAGCTTCAAACCCTTCTGCCGGCACAGCTTGTACGGGTTTTCCAGAAGCGCGATGCGTGCTTTGCCCCTCCTCCTTCCCGACAGCAAGACATAGGCGATGATCAATGCATTCCCTTTCTCTGATGCAAATTGCCATTCGTTAATTGAGATGTGGAACCAGTTCTTGTCTGGAACTGCTGTCGCCTTCACCTCGACGTACTTCGCGATACCCCGATCTCTGATGACGATGTCGTAGGGAAGACCGAATTCGACGTTTTCGTTCATCCAGATCACATTATCGGATCCTAATTGCTCAACTAAGTATTGGTGAACTGCAGCCTCGCCAAGCCTGCCGGTGTCCGGCAGACCTTCAGTAAGTCTGACGGTTCGTGACCGGTTTCTATCTGCAGGAGGAAATGACACAAAGGGCGCGTGACTGAAACGATTATCACAATCCTTGGAAAATCGAAACCTCAGAATCCACTTCTTTTACAGTAAGATCTATACCATGCATCGAGAATAATGAGATACGTACCTGATCTGCCACATTGCACCTTCATCGGCTTGGTCCCTCGGACCGCGGAAGCGCGGCAGCGCTTCTGCCGCGGCGCTTTGACGATCTTTCTTCGCTGCCGGAGCGCGTGCAGGCTGAAGGCGCCAGCGAGCCTCCCAAACTTGGACAGGAGGAAGCCGGCCGGCAGCCGGTTTCCTGCCGTCGTGAAAGAACTGCGACCTTTTGCATTCGTCGGCTTCATCTCGCGGCTACTCTGCTTTCCTCTCCTGCCAGGGAAGGGACCTTTCGTTTGCCCGAGGCGGTATATGAATCGGCACCGGTTCCATTCCACACAGTTCCACCACGAGCCCTGTTCTGTTCGGGCTTCCCGTTACCCATGCTACGTTGGGCTGGGTTCTACCAGGCCTTGCAACAAGAGCCCAGCCAAGTAGGGATGTTATATTCGATCCAACAGCTTCAAATGGTCCGAGCTGCTGGGCCGAAAATCTCACCCAGGTATGCATTTTGTCTACTAAATATACTCCTTCCGTTTTTAATTATATGACACCGTTAACTTTTTTCGTTACCTTGACCGTTCGTCTTATTCATAAATATTTATGCAAATAGCTAAATGTATGAGTTAATCTTAAAGTTCTTTTGATGATATATCCAACAATATATATTTTACGTTAAGCAACTAATTATTTTCACATATATTGTTGGTCAAAGTTCAATAAAAAAGTCAACAGCGTCATATAATTAAAAACGGAGGGAGTATAACTTTATTTTCCTTTTATTACAAGCACATACATGTAAGTGACACCTTCTCTTGTACATTTGAATTTGGAAAAATGAACTTGAGATTTCAAAAACCGACTTTGAATTATTTCGTGTGTAATTAAGAATCATTTTGTTAAAATAAACATTTGAATAGAAAATTATTGCCTTAGTTAGTTCTATATACATTGAGTTTACAGACATCTCCTGAAAGCTTAGTCTGAGTATTACTGGCTAACCACTCCTCTTTGACCTCAGAGCACAAACCGGAAGTAATAAAACATTTTGTGATCTTGTCTTTTGTTTTCCACATATTCATTTTCCTTCGCAGCTACATAATTAATAAGAAGATGCATAAAAAACATACATGCCTTTTCCAACTACAGCTATGCATATGTGCATCAGACAACTGTTAAAATGCGATAAAGCAGGTTGCAAAACTAAAAAGAAACATGAATCATTTGAACCTACATTGCGGACTTCAAAGTTCCAACAAATATCACTTTGACAGATGAGAGTGCCATCTTATCCGTTGTAATTTGCTAGTTTAGACAAATGAGCTTAACATGTTGTCCACTCTCATTTGTTGGTCTTCCCATCATCAAAATTTTTATTGGCTTTCTAATTAACGCCTAACGGGAAGTTCAAGTGCTTAACTGGAAGCCTTTCTTACGGTTGGCTGTTTTATATGAAACATTTGTCCTATACTCTCGCTCCAGCTAATCAAACCTCTTCTGATGTGCTATGTGTCTATGACTCAGTATTGTGAAAATGGCTTCTTGAAATAGCATACGAAAAATAATTGATCAACTGGATGACATTTTCCTTTCGTAAATAAAGGCGGTCAGGCAGCTAGGCAACCTAATGAAACTTTTGCGATGAAAGCGTGCACCTGGCATGTATACAGTAACATTGGTACCATCCACTACAACACAGAAAAACAAACACAATCCACACCCTAGAAGCCCTGTTGATTGTGTAGCAGCCGCATCCCATTCCGGACTTCCACACAGGAGCCATGCCCATGCACTGCTTCCTCCCCGTCCTTCTCAGCCTGTCCCTCCTCGTCACGACAACGAACGGCGATGAACACATCTACATCGACGACTGCTCGGGAAACGCGACCTACACGCCAGGCAGCGCGTTCCAGGCCAACCTCGACGCGCTCCTCTCCACACTCCCCGGCGCCGCGGCAGCGTCCTCCGGGTTCGCCAAGAACGCCACGGGCGCCGCTCCGGACCAAGCTTACGTCCTCGCGCAGTGCCGCGGCGACGTCAACGCGTCCGCCTGCCGATCCTGCCTCGACGCTTCGGTGCGGGACGTGACCAGAGGAGCGTGCCGGGGCCAGAAGAGCGCCATGGTCATCTACGACGCCTGCCAGCTGCGCTACTCCAACGCGAGCTTCTTCGGCGTCTCCGACAACAAGTCGTTCACCGTCTTCCAGTGCAGCGCCCAGAACGCGACGCAACCCGAGCAGCTGATGCGGTTCGTGGCGCAGGTCGGCGACCTGCTGGTAAACCTCAAGGGCAAGGCTGCGTACAGGTCGCCGCGCATGTTCGCGGCCGGCGCGGCGCAGGTCACGCCCTCGGTGAAGCTCTACGGCATGGTGCAGTGCACGCGAGACCTCGCCGACGACGACTGCAACCGGTGCCTCTCCAGCGTCGTCCCGTTCATGCCGTTCTACTGCGAGGGGAAGCAGAGCGTCCGGATGTTCCGCCGGAGCTGCTCCGCCCGGCTGGAGGTGTTCCCGTTTTACAACGCTCAGGTGGTTGAGGCGGCCATGTCGCCAGCTCCTGCGCCGGAAGGAGGTCCTGTCAGTTGTGGCGGGAGGCATGCCAGTCACTCCGAAGCAATGATCACGGTTGCTCGGTGTATGCTTTCACTGTTACTAGCCATGGTTTTAGCAATCTGAATGTAAACATGTACGCATGAGTAAAAATGTTTTGTGAGTGTTGTGAGCTTTCGTTCGTGATGGATTGATTTTGCTGGTTTGTGTTTTCCTTTTTGTGGTCAACGGGGGATGATCCCCACAGGAGTGGACTTTTTCATTTGAATCAAGTTGCCCTGTTGGGCGCATAGCCCCAAAGGTTTGGATTACACGATTGGGTATATGATATATCCAGCTCTCACATGCCGACCGTGACTCGCTCTGGAACTTGACAAGACCGTGACTCACATGTCAGAAGAACCATTGCTGCCTGCCTCGCCTTCTCGATCTGCTTGTTGTCAAGACGCGGATCTCTGGTGACATTAGGTTTCTAGCACAAATAGGGTCATAAAAAAGTTAAGCTCCTACGTTTCCGTGACAACATATATATCTAGTCACCAGATAACACGGCACTGATCCCATGACTGTAGACAAATAGACATACAATACAATATATGTTCCGTATTTTCTCTGTAACTATTCAAATTGAACGAAAATTTTGAGATACACATTTTGTAAATAGGGATGGCAATTCGGGGCCGGGTACCCGACCCGATGGGGCCGGGCATGGGGCTCGTGTTTCACCCGTGGGTGGCGCCCATGCCCGACCCGACATGAGTAGGGTACGGGACGGGGATTTATCCCCACCCATGGGTAACCCGGCGGGTACCCGAATTAGCTAGCACATTATAAGAAAAAAAGAAAAAGCCATCCGCCAGCCCACAACCACAAGAAGCGAACTCGGCCCAGCACACAACCACAAGAGGCCAACTCGGCCCAGCCCACAACCATAAGAAGCTAAATCTCCACAGCCAACCTTATCTCCTTCCCCTCACAAAAAAAAAGCAACCTTATCTTCTTTCACCAATCATCTCTCGCTTCTTCTTCTTTCTAGCATATCATCGACGCTGAGCAGGGCGTGCGTCCGCGACAAGCAGGCCAAGGCAGCGTGGCGCAGTTGCTCGACAGCCAGGCAACGCAGCGTGGCGCAGTTGCTCGGGAGCCAGGCAACGCAGCGCAAGAGCTGCGGCGCAGGCAGGCAGCGCAGGCGGGCGCGGCGGCGCATGCAGGCGCCGGCGGCGCTACGCAACGCAGCGCAGCGCAGGCAGGCAGGCAGGCGGCGCAACGCAGCGCGGCGAGCGGCGCAGCAGGCGGACGCGACGCGAAGGCGGAGCGGCTGGGGGGCGCGGCGAGGCTGACGACGCGGCTGCGTGCCGAGGCTGCCCGTGGGCGACCCGAAACCCGCCCCGCTAGCCGACGGGCACGGGGCGGGTGAGGATTTTCACCCACGGGGACGGGTACGGGTGGGGATTTTCACCCGAAGCACATGTCGGGGCGGGTATGGATTTGCTCTACCCGCCCCGAACCCGCCCCATTGCC